CGCCCATGTGGGTGGGGGCCTGAATTAACTGGGTCAAGTCCAAGGCCGTCATGGAAGCCAAGAACTCCTGAGCTGCCGCCGACGTCCCGCCCGCTGATGGCAAGTTGAAGTCCCCCAAGACCATAAGTCTGGGGGTCTCCACCGCCACCCCGGCTATCATGTCGGCCAGCTCAGGCAGGGCTGTTGATACATAGCAGGGGGCCAGGGAGCCAGGTATATAATCATAGAATTCTGGAAGCATATATCCAAATTGAAATCCAATTACGTATGACTTTTTACTTAATTTTGCAGCAAAGGTGTAACTTTAGGGTCTATAATGATATGTACATTATTTTGCTGAATCTATTGAGTCCTAGAAAATAGTTTAGAAAAGCACATAGATTTAAGTGCTGTTGGAAGCTCTGTTCTTAAAAAACTTTGTTTCTGAGCCTAGATCACTTATTTTAGCTGAACAACACACAGTTTGGTTTTTATATATGGCACCATGAAAAAAGTGTTAACACACCTGTCTAATAGTAACCTCTGTTACAAACTATATTGAACAGCTTTTTGTTCTCACAATGATAAATCTAATCTGTATAGGATGCCCCAAATAGAACTGAGTTCAATAACATCTGTCAGAGGTATTAAGAGATATCTCATACTGAGGACAATATATAACCATCATGATTAATAGGTGCTGGTAATCTTACCACTTTTAAAAGTGTCTGTGTTAGAAGCTGTAACTCCAGTGGAATATACATGTTCATACTAAGCCATAATAAGGTTTGAGCGGTTCTAGCTTAGTATTTTCTTTCTGCCTAGCCATTAATGTAAAACTAAACTAAACCCAGAATATTTTAGTTATCCAATAATCTGTAATTAAATAAAATTTATAACATACCCTTAATTTCTTAATCATTCATAGTTTCATTGGATGATTTCAGATTATATTATTATGAGAGAGGGATAAATATTTTATGAATGCATTGAGTAAGCATGCATGGGAGTGCATAGTTAATTGTCAGTCCTAAGAGACTCCAATTTTGTGAACCAAATGTTCACATTGCAGGTTTGGGGGGAGAAAAACAATGTGTTATATGACTGCACTTAAAACATGCCTAGAAAATGAAGTCCTTTGTTGTGGTAGTTTTGTTTTGTTTTGTTTTGATAGGACCAGTTCTGTTTGACCTATAACAATGACTGTTGCAATCATTTACACGATGGTCAAATATTTGTAGTTTTTTAATAAAATAAAACAGTACTGGTAAGCAGCTCAGATGTGCCTGTATTCTGATAGTTGATACCTGGTTAGAAGTACTATTTGTTGTAGTCTGCTAATCGGTGACATTAATTGAAGTAGTACCTGCGATAAAGCTGGAAAGTAATGTCTACTTACTTTTAAATTCTTTAAATCTTGGACTTATTTTTTACTTATGTTATATGGGAGAAAAAAATAATCAAGCAAGAGTAAGTTAAGGAGCTGATTGTATAGTAAAGCTGGGCTATTCTTCGCTATTTTTTAAAATTATTAAATTTGCCACCCATCTCACAGTTCAAGGAGACTCTGACCATAGTCTTAAGTGGTTCTATCTGCTTGCATTTTAGTAAAATGAACATGATATTTCAATTTTTTAATTGCAACTTCCTTGGGAATTTCACTGAACTGTTGAATCAACTACCTAGTGGCATTATTTTAGCTATTTCTTTTCTTCTTTACACTTTAATTTTCTGCTGTAGTTTATTTTGTGAAGCTATTATATTCACCTTTTTATAACTTTAGGACCCTTTTTGACATCCAGATGGATTTGTTGATGGTAGTGAGGAAATAAAATGTAGTATAGCTGGATGATTATAGCTCATTTTCAGCTAATCATAATCTAACTTAAAGCAAGCATTAGTTCAGATGAGCAAGAGAAAAGCAAAACTGACAACTTGGACTCTCATATCATAAAGAAATAGAATCCCAAAGTGGTTCTAGGGTAGCTTTTCATTACACTTTTGCACAACATTAAGTTAAATCAAGTGGCGTGAAATGAAAATTTATTCTTTGCTAAACAGCATGTGTGGTTTATGTATTTTTAGCACATATCCTCATTCCATCTGGTTGGGAAAAATACCTGAAACTAAGTTTGAATCCACCTGGAGAATGGACAGTAT